CAGTAGGCCCACAGCGGTCAAACTTCGCATGGACAATCCCTGGGGTATGCTTTTGGGTCATCCTGAAGCGCTAGGCCCTACCCGTACTCCTTGACCTCAAAGTGACATGAGGTCAAGTTACAAATTTGGCTCATCCATCACCATTTTTTAAATAGCTCGCATTTCAACAATCCCCCATAGATTTTCTTCATATTTGATAAAAACTGATCAGACTGACTTGTACTATCAGATTCGTTAAGGATTTTTAAATTTTTCCAAGGTCAACAAGTTTTTCGCATAAACGAAAAAGGTCACCAGGCAAAGTCTCACATAACCCCATAAGTGGGGTATCGTTGGAAAGTTCTTGGTGGGAGGATTCAGAATATATATACTTTATGGGGTCTGGGACCACCCCCAGATTTTATAGAGACCGATGAGTATCATTGAGTTTTGGTTTTCCGTGCATGCAGACGTTTGAGCAGATTGAGAGCTAACACAGCAGTGGATTGAGGAAAACTCAATAAAATTCCTCGCTCGCTATAAAATCTGGGGGTGATCCCAGACCTCATAAAGTATATATATTCTGAATCCTCCCACCAAGACCTTTCCAACGATACCCCACTTATGGGGTTATATGAGACTTTGACTGGTGACCTTCGTTTGCGCGAAAAACTTGTTGACCTTGGAAAAATTTAAAAATCCTTAACGAATCTGATAGTACAAGTCAGTCTGATCAGTTTTTATCAAATATGAAGAAAATCTATGGGGGATTGTTGAAATGCGAGCTATTTAAAAAATGGTGATGGATGAGCCAAATTTGTAACTTGACCTCATGTCACTTTGAGGTCAAGGAGTACGGGTAGGGCCTAGCGCTTCAGGATGACCCAAAAGCATACCCCAGGGATTGTCCATGCGAAGTTTGACCGCTGTGGGCCTACTGGTTGCTTCACAATCGAGGGAGAAAGTTGGCAAGTTTTGTCAAAAAAGGTAGTGCTTTCCCCCATACCATTAGACGGAGGGGGACGTGGAAATTTTAAAAACTGTCTAAATCGAATAGTTCGGACCCGCTGAGCAGGTTTTTGAGCTAAAACAGCAGAAAATAAAATATGACCTTTTTTACCGGCGATAGCTGATGGAAATCGTCCCGTGCGATGTGATGCATACATACAGCGCAGATATTTGAATTAATGGCGGACAGGTTACTATCATGGGTACGATTTTATTAGTGACGCAGGCATTGAATGATTTCTCCAGGATTAGGATATTGCGGTAGAGCCGGATGCAGGCAGTAGTGTCGGTGCCATTTTCAATTTTGGAAATTTTTCTAAATATATATAAACCGATTAATTAGATATGTCGCATGAAAATTATACGAAAATATACATATAAATACATACATATGTACAAATGTACATACATACATCTACATATATATATATATGTAGTAAGCCTTTGGAAAAACTTGAGAAATCCAGTAGCCAAGTTACCCCTCATGGCGAAATACGTACAATCCGAATAACATTGGGATATTAAGCTTGTAAGTACATACATATTCTGGTATAGTAACAATTGTTTAGTGAAATATATGTATTACCTGTTAAGAAGTTCGAAGTAGTTCAGCAAAAACGTTATTCCGACAAAGAGAATATATAGAATCCAGGCAGTTCCAGAAAACATGATATGGAAGTTCATCCAAGTTTCGAAGACATGCACTGCCAAACCAACTCCATAGCTTATCGGTGGAGCATTGCCACAAAGCTCAAGCATTGACAAGATGAAAGGCGGCGTGCATGGGAGAAATCGTAACAAAAGAAATATAAGAACAGGGTAGGCTACAACGCCGATTTCCATCAATATTATAAACGCCTTGACTGCTTTAGTTCCCATCGAGATTGGAATTTTTGGTAGACCTGTCGATCACAAAATGCTGTAAGAATTGGGTTAAATTATCTAACAACGGATACGTACATACGTCACAAAATAATGTGTACATAAATGTGAAACAGATTTGGGCTGAATACAAGAATTAGTGAGGCAGCAGAGAAACCAGATGCTGAAATTTTCCCAAAATGGTACGATATGCAAATGTTGTTTCAACTCTCTTATCTCAGATATAAATTGACTTACGCGATATGATTTTTGCTTCGAAATCCAGAAAGGTATTTACGATTTGACCAGGGGCGATGTCGATTGAATAATTCCATCTTGTGATTAAGCAGCCAAGCGTCGCAATGAAAAGGGGAATAGCTTAAAATCGTCCCGAACTGGTTAGCGGACCGATGCAAATATTCAGAATCATTGCCGTGCAATACAACATGGTCAGGAGGCATTGTAATTTGAAAATTCGAATTAGTCGGGTAGATCTAGTTTTGATTAAACGTCCTGAGTTCTTGTCAAATTCGAACGGGATGCATTTTAGTCTTTTAGAAATCCTTGTATGGTAACGTAAAAGAGGGAGAAATTCTTCTTGATACATTTTTTATATATAAATCTGTTCGCTGAGAGCTGTGGCTGAGAAGTGGGCGATGGTTAGGTCGTGAAGCACGCTATATTTAATTCATGATAGAAATCAGCAAAAAGCTACGTTGACTTAGAGTGTAAGGAAAGAGTGTAGGTGATCAATTAATGGTTTATCAAGATTTCAAACCAGATAATCTAATCTAATCCGAATATACGCAGTTGCTTATATTGACGCTGGTGAAGATATTTCCCCTCCTTTTTAATTTAGAATGTTCGTACTGCTTTCAAAAAACTTTCGCATTTTAATTTTTCAAGTTCCTTTTAGTATTTAAATTTAAGTTTATGAAAAATTCTACCCCACACTGGTCGGAAATCTGGAGAAAGTTAAATTATACTGGAAAGAACGTCACCTTATTGATCGATCCTAGTCATTGTCACATTTCAGATTTAGTTGGTAATAACTTAATTACATTACGTGCTCTATTAACAGGGTTTCGTAGATACCACTTTTACCCGATTGACGCACAAACATCAACTTGATTATAACACTACTAGATAGTTAACCATGACTAAATTTTCTAATCATGTAGATATGTAATTTCTACATGGGCAATCTGGGCATATTTTTCAATTAATCTACTGAAAAATGTGAAATTTCAAAAAAGCTGAGTTTGAAGTTGAGTTTGCGTTATAAAATATGATAACGCAACTAGCGGGGATGAATCACATGCACAATTTTTAAAAAATTCACTCTTTTCTCAACGATTTGTATCTTTGCATATATCATAAAGTTAATTAATACGTTTAATATAACTTTTAAACTGAGAAAATCCGGATTCTGTTCAGAATGAAATCCGGATTTTTCGAATTCGGAGTATCCGAATTTGACACCCCGAATAGGGATACACCCCGTCGAAAAAATGTTCGTTACCGCAACCAGAAGTACCCGTCAAAACTCGGGCTCCGAAAACGCTCAGAAAGCGCTCCGAAAACTTCGCGGCGGGCCGAGTATCATCGCCCCGACAATTTCGCCAGTATTCACCAACAATCGTCGGGTCTGCGTATGTGGCTCGCCGGGAAACACGATGGTATGGGGCTCTGATCGGAATTTTTTTAATTCCCAGGGGCGGGTCTGACTCGCTTAGCCTCTGCAACTGCATGTTTAGGTGGCGTTACAGATCGATTTATAAATTACAGACGGACTAATTAGTTACAACCCTTAACCAAAATAATGATAATAAAATATTGAACAACATTTTTGGCCAGTGTATGCGTGGCCATTGGGTTTGAGTAAGTGAACCATTTGAGATTGCAATCTCAATTGATTGAGAAGGTATTTGAAAGAGATTTCATTGACTAGGTAACCTCCATAAGAAAACTCTGATTTTTAGACCACTCACCTATTACCAATTCTATTCCGTATGCTAGAAGCTTAACACTAGTAAAATAGTCGAGCCAAAACGACCCACCCACCTTTTTGATGACGTAGTATATGGGCGTTCCCTGATACATATGTATGTATTAGAGGTGAGCTTGATCGTCATTTTTTGAGATCCAATCCGTCCAAATCCATTTGGCCCAAAAAATTTATGATCCAATCCATCCAAATCCATTTGGTCCAAAAAATTTATGATCCAATCCATCCAAATCCATTTGGTCCAAAAAATTTATGATCCAATCCATCCAAATCCATTTGGCCCAAAAAATTTCAGATCCAATCCGTCCAAATCCAGTTGGATCGGATCAGGGCATGGATTATCCAAAGAATTATATATATAAACTCATGGTTAGTGTTCGGGATAAATCTGATTGGACTGTATATGTGTCACAATATGTTCCATGCAACAAAAGTATGGCCCAGTTACTGTTAGGATGAGATCGGAGTGTTAAAAAGAACACTTCCTGATATTGTTTATGGGGACGAAATTTATCCAATTCATCCAAATCCATTTCACCCAAAAATATGAGATCGAATCCATCCAAATCCAATTCAGCCAAAATTTTTCAGATCCAAATCCATTTGGCCCAAAAATTTTTAGATCCAATCCATTCAAATCCAGTTGGATTGGATCGGGCCATGCATTATCCAAAAAAATGGATATCCAGCTCACCTCTAGTATGCATTCCTCACTATATTCAACGTTGCCTTATTAAGGTACTTATTCAACTTCACGAAAAGTGATTTAGCAAGAAAATGCCTCAAATTAACTTCAGAAAATCTTACACTAATTTTTATATTTTTACATATATTGGCACCCTGAATTCTAAATCTCATTAGTTTCTCTTGTTAGAGAATGTAATTCAATCTACCCAGTTGGCTAAATATTGATCCGCTAGGAATCCTATCAAGATTTTGGTATATCTATTTCCTTAAATTTACTCAATTTGGGAAATTATTTACCAATATCTATAAGCGTGGACTTCTGCGTACGTATGTACCTATTTTTGGGGGTGGATTTGCCGATAACTTTAATTATCAAGATGCTTGAACATTGCATAATAAAATTCAAATCCAGTCGGTACAAATATCTATTGAAATGAATTTTAGAATTTGAAAAAGCTTCTCATATTGAACTTTTATTCCATTCCTGTTTGAAATTCTTGTTTTAATAAGAATTGAATTAATTATACCGAATACCGACCCGCACTTCTAAAAATATTGAAGTATTTTTTCTTTAACACACACTTTTATTTCAGAATAACGGCTAACACCAAAACAAGATTCAGTTGTAAATAAACAGGGGAATAAATAATTCATACATTCACTCTTAAAAATAATGCTATCCTTTTCATTCAAAGTAAATGCACTCTGAATTCCATATTAAGTAGGGTACATATACGAATTTAATTTAGAATTCAGAGTGCATTTTTTAAGAGTGTTGGATCGGAGTTTCTTCTCCGTCAGAAGAATTTCCGTATTGTTTCCCTCTTCCTTTTTTGACGCATTTATTTTGTATGTGGCCTCTGAGACGGTCAGGTTTCGCGTGTTTAAATTCCTTTCCACACAGTTTACACTTCCAGGTGCGGGTGGTCTCGTTGACATTTTGAAAATATGCCCACACAGGGTCTCGGGCTTTAGCTCCTTTTCCAGTCTTACGAAGATGAGGTTGTGGGTGGTTTTGTTGTGGAGGGGGCGGGCGGATCAGCGCGTGGGTTGTCTGTAATGAAGTCAGGCGTTCTCCTGGAATAAGTTAAGAATAGATTAACGTGGAAGCTGGACAGTTTGGCGAAATCCATATTTCGAAAAAAATTCACAAAAAAATAAATTCCCATTTGGAGTAAAAAAAACACCTATTCTGAGGAATTTTTACGACAATGTTTTTAAAGTAAAATTTGGCGAAATAAATGCCACATTTTTTCGCACTTTGTTTGGCATTGTAAAAAAAACTTTTTTTGTCACGGACTTCCCATTATTTCGAATCGGAATAGCGAGCTTCTATTTTTAGTTTAGACCAATTTTCCATCAAAATTGTTTAAGCATTTGATTTTATGGAAAAATTCTTCCTGGGAAATGATATGTTGCATGATATTTTTATGAATTTTGGGTACAAATAAGTTGCCTTGTTACGTGGCCATTTCTCTACCTTGGTGGAAAAAAATCTTGATTTTTTGGATTCTTGAGCAACAATTAAAAGAACGATAAGCGCACTTACCAACTTCCGGCTGAAGACCGTTATTCTCGTCGGATGGGATTATAACAAAGTCGGAAGAATACGGATAAATTTCTACTTCTTCTTCAGAATCCTCCTGTTCCATTTTAACGGAGTGAGGTCCAATTTCCAAGGATTCCTGGTCCGCGATGTAAATTGGGTCGTGATTCTCATGCTGGTCGTCGTCTTGTGAGGAAACGTTGTGGGAGAAAGTTGGAGAAGATGTCTTGTCGAGGAGTTTTCCTATTTTAAAATTTTTGTAAATCAGAAATGTGTATTTTGTTTTACTAATTTATGTTGAGAAATGTATGCATTGTTTAATAATTTGAACATAAGATTCGACGACTCATCACTAAAATGGTCAAAATCAACACAGTTTTAATCATTTCTCCCCTCTGGAAATTTATTTTAAAATTCTGGACGTCGAATTTGTACTCAATGAGTTGATTAATAGAATGCTGGTCAGTTTGTAAGCCAATTTCGATAAGCCTTAATTTTTCCCAAGACTCCCTAAACTTGAGATGGCTTACTTTCAAAATCTGCATATTAAAAAGTGCATATTAAAACAAAAATTAACGCAACTTGCTGCACAAATTTGTCATCCGGAAATTTAAAACAAATTCCCGAAGCCAAGAAATCATTAAAAACATGCTGATTTTGACGATAAATCTTCAAGTACTACGTTAATTTAGAAAAAACATTTATATATTGTAAATATTACGTTTTCGCTTTGCATTTTTTAATTTTTGCTGTCTTTCTCCAGCGATTTTTTGTGGCAAGTAGTCCGCCTCAGAGGATCCTTCGTCATCATCATCAGAATTGCCGAGATCTGATAAAAATAAAATCATTGTTAATTTGAACCCATGATAATTCTTATATTTAAAAAAGTTAGTCAAAAATTAAATCACCAAAATTGCCAAGCTGTGCGAAATGTTTCGCAATTTTTGTCACGAATTCTTCCAACCTAGCGACACGATGGAGAAGTTTTTCCATTTCACGTTTAGTAACAGACATGATTAGTTAAATATAATTAATTATACCTAGTCTGCTGTTGGAAATGGGTAGTTAAATAATTAAATAACTATATTCAATATTTTCGAGGAGATGGTAAAAATCTTTTCCAACACATGAGCAAAATGTAAACATAACCCTGTTACCCCATAACCCCATATGCCTAACCTAAACATTGCGTTCGCTCTCAAAGAAATGTTCTCGCTTTTCCCTGACAATATTTTCTCGTGTCATTCATTCGTATGAAAATGAAAAAAAAATAATGTTACCCTTTTGAAATATGAATGTTCTCTGAACTTTACATTAAGATAAGTGTGTACACTAAATTCGATTAAACTTTACTCTCTATCAAGCCAAAATTATTTTGAATTTGGTATATGGGGTGGTCCATAAATTATGTCACGCTGAAGATGGGGGGGAGGGGTTGCAAGCTTCCGTGACAAAGTGTGACATATGGGGAGGGGGGGTTCGGCCGGTCCGTGACATCACGTTTCCCAGGTCTGACTTAATGCAAACTTTAACTCATTTTAATTCTTCGACTAGGACCAAACTAGTTTCGCAATTATTTATACTTAGAAATATATGTCCATCCCAATATATGAAACCTTTGATCCAAAAAATCCAAAATTTCAACCAAGTTTTAGATTTTGAGATTTTCAGCCGAGTTTCTAAATTTTGTTTAAACCTTCAAATAATTTTCAAAATACCCAATTGTTTGTAAGTTTAAAGAAAATTAAAAATTCATGATGCCATAAAGTTTGCATAAGTTCAAAAAATCGTCATAATTTTGCAAAAGTGCATGCAACAATTTAAAAGAAACATTACTAAATCGGAAAAAATTTGCACAATTTAAAAATTCGTTCGAAAGAACCTTATTTTTCATAGTTTCAAAACTGTGAAGGGATTGGAGACAACTGCATGATTCAAAAATGTTAACAATTAAAAAATGTGTAGCGATAACACAAGAAAACTGAAAAATTTAGTGGTTTTTTTTACAACTTATTTGAAATTCTTGTTATCGGAAAAATTCAGATTTTCAGGCGTGACGTGACAAGAGGGGGGAGGGGTCACAACGAGCGTGACAAAGGCGTGACAACAGGGGAGGGGGGGTCTTAAAAAAGGGCTTTTTTGCGTGACATAATTTATGGATCTCCCCTATCTTGCTTGCATTTTTGGTAACTCATTTAATGTTATCATCGACATTTTCATCCTATGCTAAATGGGGCGTTCATTAATTACGTAACTCGAGAGGGGCGGGGGAGGGGGGTCTGAGGCTACCATGCCTATGATACACATGTTCAAAGGGTGGGGGTCTAGAAAATCGCGATTTTTGCATTACGTAATTTATGTACCGTCTCAGCCAACGTCCATGTAATAAAGGCGAATTAGAGAGACATTTAATAATCTATATTATAAGAGGCAATATCTGTTTGCAACGGAAGTGAAAGTAAATCTGTCTGTGACGGAAGTTTGTCCGTGACGGAAGTGAAAGTAGTGAAAGTCAAGTTTCGAATGGCGCGAAAATTCAAAAACTTTAATTTCAAACATGAATGTTGGTTATCAAGGCTTTGCTGCCTGATGGTGGTTATCGAGTTGTGGCGGCCTGATGGTGGTTATCGGGGTGTGGCGGCCTGGTGGGGTTATCGGGTCTTTGTTCCTTGAGGGTGGTTATCGGAGTGTTGTGGCCTGATGGTGGTTATCGGGTCTTTCTTGCCTGTTGGAGGTTATCGGGTCTTTGTTGCCTGATGGTGGTTATCTGGCAGTGGCTGCCTGGTGGGGTTATCGAGCCTTTGCTGCCTAATGGTGGTTATCTGGGTGTGGCGGCCTGGTGGGATTATCGAGGCTTTGCTCGCTGATGGTGGTTATCGAGGTGTTACGGCCTAATGGGGGTAATCGGGCGTTGTTGCCATTGCTAATTAATCTGGGCGGTTTTCTTCTTGCATGCCGTTGCCAGTGGCAGTCTTGGTTGGTAGACGCGTATCACCCAGTTAGACTGCCACTATTACTGCCAGTGGCAAAGGCAGTGCCCATGGCAGACTGGCCTGGCAGAGATAACTGAGCCAAGCCAAATCTGCCATATACACTGCCAATGGCAATGACAGAGATGAGTGAGCTAAGTCAGGTCTCCCAAACACACTGGCACTAGCAGACCCACCTGGCAGAGATGACTGAGCCAAATTTGATGCCAGACAAACTGCCACTGGCAATGGCAGTGCGTATGGCAGTTTGGACTGGCGGAAATGACTGAGCCAAGAAGGGTGCCAGACAAACTGCCATTGGCAATGGCAGTGCCACTGGCAGACTTGGCTGGTAGATATGGCAGAGCGAAGTGGGTGCCAGACAAACTGCCATTGGCAATGGCAGTGCCACTGGCAGACTTGGCTGGTAGATATGGCAGAGTGCCAGACAACCTGTCATTGACAATGGCGGTGCCACTGGCAGACTTGGCTGGCAAAGATTACAGAACCAAGTGGGTGACATTTAATTTTCCACTTTAACTTTCCCTGCAAATTTCTTTCACTTCCGTTGGCGTCAAATTGTTTTATTAAATAAATATCTACAAAATATTTAACTGGTGAAATTTTGATAATCTAATCATCTCTCGCCCGGCGGGAGACGGGCTTATACGCTAGTAATGAATAATGAGTAAGTATTAATTTTTAAATTTTGAATATATGAATATTTTTCCCATTTTTAAGTTAAATGAATATTGAATGATTGAATGGCTAATTAATTAATTATTTGACTATACATAAAGTGAACGAGTTATGTACTGTGCGGGTGGAGGTTAAACCTAGCCTCCTGAAGTACCTTGTGCTGAGACTAGGGTTTCTCGTGAGTCTAGCTCCATTCGCACAGCACATAACTAACTCACTTCAAGTATAATATTTAATTAATGATATTCTTCAACAGGTATATATATACATATAAACAAGAGGAAATTAGGCCGCATCAATTCCAGATTACTTTTTCTAATTTTTAACTCGAATGAATTGTGAATGAATGACTTAATGACTAGATGTATATTTAATTAATTAACTATTTAAGTAATATTTAATTAATGATATTCTTAACAGGTACATACGTATGAAAACAGGAGTAAATTAACAACGCTTCCTCCACTGCATCAATTTCAGACGGTCAGTGCTTAATCACCATTATAAATTCAGAAAAGCTTAAGTTTTAAATTTGGGGCGATTTGGATAAACTAAATTTGCTTATCTGAAAAATTGATAAGTCTGAAGATAAGCCCTATAGCGTAAATTTTCGAGTGAATATCACCATTATAAATTCAGAAAAGCTTAATTTTAACAATTAGATCGATTTGAGGCTACTTTAATAACTTTATTCTTTATCATTATTTTTATGGGTAGTATTTCACAAGCAGCCATACTATGTATGTATGTATGTTACGGCTCTTGCAAAATAAGCCCCTCCCTCAGAAACTTTGACCCCAAAAAACTCATTGTTCCGGTCATTTCTACTCGGCCAACAAAAGCTGAAAATGTAGCTCTTCTCAAGGAGAAAAATCTGGCATCAGGTTGTCAGACTAGAAATGACCGCTAAGGTCACTTTTTTAACGATTTATATGTTGGTCGAAAAACCGCCAATTTTCGAATTTTGAAACTTTTTCTGCATCAAAATGTTTGTATTTATGGGGGAATTAAAATGTCAAATACAACTTGAGGTCTAATTCTTTTTTTACGGAGTGTACATTAGCTTTCTCATTTTTTCCAATTTTTTATCCCCATTTTTTAAGGGGGGGTGGTTGCATATAATTCAAAAATAGCTATGGTAAGGTGATCCATGCAACCGCAGTTCATTTTGCAATTTTTTAAATTAAATTCGGTGGCATCGATGCGAAATACTATAACACCGTATCATTCATTTCATCTCTGCTGCCAAAAAACATGACATTTTTTGTGCTAATTTACATACACGCCTAGCAAATGCACATGTTTTTTCGCGAAAGAAGTTCGCAATCGTAAATTAATTCATCCTCGCCAAGAGAAATCAAAGAAATTTATGGAAACAACATCAAAATAAATTTTTGGTATATACATTTACGAGGTTTGCGTAAAGTTGCATTTTATAAATTTCTTTCACTTTCACAAACTTTCGATAACCAGATTTTATATCAGATTTCCAACAATGTTCATAGCCTGGTAATACATTATTACCGGCTTGTATTTATAGAGTATAAATACTACATAATTCTAGACAGACCTTCAATTCCCTCAACTGCCGGTTGAGGTAGATCCAAAGCACCAAAATCAACGTAGTCATAATTGCTGAGGTGAAAGAAATGAGGAAATTGGTCCCCTGATCAAATACATACAGTAATGAGTTAATAAATAGGCTATTTATTAAGTAGTGTACTTATTTAGAGGGGCCGCTCATAAATTACGTAACGCGAGAGGGGGGGGGGTCTAAGGCTCCAATGATATTGTGCCTATGTTACACGTCCAAAAGAGGTAGGGGGTCTAGAAAATCGCGATTTGTGCGTTACTTATGTAATTTATGGACGGCCCCTTAGTTAAAAATTACCGTGTTTAATTTGTTGGGTAATTTTGTCTCCGTATTTTCATCATTTGTCCATTTGTCATTTATCTGTGTCCCTTTCAACCCAATAAGGAAACTGAGGATGGACAGCATGAAGAAATATGACTATATACATACATAAAATATTTTTTTAATTAGAGAGCTCACATATTTATTTACTTACGTAAAAAGACGCAAAATAAAGGCGATGCGTGCAACCAAAATTCTGATAGAGTCACATACATATTTGTACATAAATACTACAATATTTCATATTTTATAATACGTTCTACAGTGCAATATAATAAAGAGACATTACCAAACGGTGATAATTATGTATCAAAATGATTATGAAGCCAAATATTTATGCAAATAAGTATGAATGTTTGCCCCGATTTGTCAATATTTTGGCCGGAGGGTTAATTAAAATTCACAATTTAAATATTTGACCAACTCACCGAACAATGTATTCCCGTATAATTTACCACCACGAGCAGGAAGCCAATCACGTATCCGGTAATAGGCATAATAATTTATATGTAACTTGGTTCTAGATTCGGTACTTGATTAGACTAATAATAAACGAATCTTTAACATTCTTTAACAATCTTTAACATTTATTCGTAATAAATTACATTTTAAGGATTTGTAGTAACTATTTACTCCACAGTACAGATGATAAAACTAGGAGAAAGCAACATGTGGGCAAAAAACGGCTGGAGAAAGGCGATCTATCGATTAGACGGATGGGGCCGTTCATAAAGTATGTTCATAAAGTATGTGACGCGAGTGGGGAAGGGGCGTAAACTCCAATGACATTGTATAACACATATTAAGGGGGAGTGGGGCATGGGAAATTGTTGCGTTATATACCTATTTATGTATGTACGTATAATGGATGGCCCCTACATATGTACGACTCTGAACGAGCATACGCATGTACATATGTACATATGTGTCTACCAACCCGGTTTATCGGTCCCGAGCTATAAATTTCCCTGTACGGGTCTTACACATGCTTTAAGGGGATAATTCAAGAAATTTTAAATATATATGTAAGTCCCGTACACAAATATATTTGTTGGGTTTTGACGGTTGGCTCTAAGAGCGACTTAAACAACCTACATATATATGTACAGGCAAAACACAATTGCCACAATAAAATTTCTTGTTGTGGTTTAGGCTGCTGTAAGTATTCTTGTTTTTTCGAGTATAGATAAATGGAACCATATATTATAATCAGTATTGCTACGTGGCATCATTAAGTCCAGTAGATTGTCATTTTGTGGGAGCCAACAAATGGAAGGCATTTGTACTGAACTATTTTTATTCAGAAATGAGTAATCGTGGATAATGTAGCTTTTTACACATCCTATGCATTTAAGTGTAAACATTGTGCGTATCCTATACCGTTAAGCAAAATAATAATAAAATAATAAAATACTCGTAAAATTATGGATTGAAAAATCACAACCAACGACGCGTCCTCTGTGTGCTCTATACATGTATAGAAATCAAATGTGACGAGTGCTGCACATGCTGCACAAAAGTTCGATGACTTCTTTAATCAGTCCCCAGACACTTGCTGTTATTTCATGGCATTCCTTTAGCAACTTTAATTTTCCACCGACAGCCTAATACGCAAACCGCTGCCCCCACATCCTTGGGAGTTATATCGTCCTACTGTGTAAAGGCGTACGACAACTTTAACTCCATGATCACCCGCCTGAAAAAAGACATAAACTGCCTCTGTCACTTTCTTCTTTTTAATTTCAGGCATTCATCAGGAATTATTTGCATTACCAACTAGAAACAAATTGCTAATCAGGATTTATGGTGTTTGCATGTGATTAAATGTTAAAGAAAACATCGTTATTAATCACACTGTCAGGGTTCGGAAAAACCCGGGGTTTTACTCTGAAAACAACTACCCCGGGGTTTTACTGGGTTTTACTGGGTTTTACTGGGTTTTGGGGTTTTACTGGGTTTTACTCAATGTTTGGGGTGAACTAATATAACTCACAATGTTACATTAATTTGTTAAATTAATGTATTTTCTCAAGATTTACCATTAAACTTCAATGTAAAATGCTAGGAACTCCCCGAAAACACCAATATGATCAAATCCCAAGTTAAGCTGTAAATTATGATTTTTAGAGCATAAAGAAAAATTGTAAATAAATATAGAAATTTACGGGATCTTAATCAAAATGCATAATCCGAGTTAGATATGCACCTGCAAACTGATTATATTGATTTATCTATTTGAGTTTTAGATAAAACTTGGTAAAACCCGAGTAAAACCCAGTAAAACCCAAGTAAAACCCCTTTAACATAGTAAAACCCGCGGGGGTTTATTAATTTACAACCCAGTAAAACCCAGTAAAACCCCAAAACCCCAACCCAGTAAAACCCGGGGTCGGAATACCCTGCACACTGTCCTGATAAAATATTTCTGAATATGCCTACTATGTAAGACCCAATTAAATATATAGAATTAGTAGAATACTTGGCTTTTTACTGTATGTATCTCTTTTATATGACCATACTGTAAAATTTTATCTCATTCACTCACCTTTCTATTACATATTGATAATTCTGTGTAAATTTTTTGTGAATTTTCTGCTTTCGCCCACGGAGTTATTGAATCACTACTATCTACTTACGCATACCCAATTCGTACGTATCCATGTCTTTGTTTGATTCAGAGGTATTAATTCCATTGCTTTATCTACGATTCCGTATGCAGGGGTTCCATAGAAGTAGGCATGATATCTGGGCATTGGAACATTTTTGAGAATAATGTTTTTTGTGAATTGCTATGAGCAGAATCTGATGAAGGCATTTTGAAATTAATTAGAGCTATTGCAAATAACATCATCGTATATTTGAATAATTGTGCAATACACGTTCTATAATTGTTTATATATCGAAAAGGATTGACAAATGCAATATTAATCAAAAATGTTGGAAAATTCCAGACTGGGATGGGGTTCATCATCTCAATTTATTGGCTACTGCCATGTAAGTTGTATTTATCCAAATTTAAAAAATCTTTTCAATAATTTCAAAACTTTTTAAGATCAAAACCCAGAGGGTTTAAAATAATCCCAGCTACTGGTTCAAATATGCCAGCCAAGACAACCATTATTTCCAGAGGATTTACATATTGGATTTAATTACAGACTAGATCAACACCTTTAACATATTCAACACCAACCACGTCAACAATCATTTTTATTTCTCCATATTCACAGCAGCAAGCGCGATGTCCATCCGTTTACCCCATTTGACCCTAGGGTGACCATGGGCTGCCAGGCAGACAGGTTATCGGTCACATATGTACGTTCTGAAGCTTAACTGAATCATTAACTAGGTGATGTAATACATCGTATAGTAAGGAACGCCTGGGTCACCTGGAGTTCTGTGGAGCGGTAGTGTTGAGTGAGAAATCTGCAAAAGACAAAAATCACTCATCGCTAACTTTATTTGGGAGAAACAACGTAAAGCTTTCATACTCTCGTTAATTTCAGTGTCAGGGAGTTTATCAGAGTTGATAAGTGGGTATTGTGGCGCAGAAATTTGAGTGAAATGAATAATTCTTGGAATGATTAGTCCAGTGTGTAATACATACATAATACGCTTAAACACTTAGTAAACATGAATATTAAAAACTTGACAAAACAACTGACTCATCACATTTTCATTCTCCCCAGTATCAATCATACAGATCAACTTCATCATTACAGAGCTAACATTTAGTACAATATCATATTACTGTGAAGGAAGAAACTATTCATAAATGGTAAATTTTTTGTAATAATTCTTTCTTACAAGACTTTTCTTCATAGCTAAATTTCACAACATAGCATTATGGCTGACAAACGATGGGTATACATGTAGGTCCATAATACATTAGTAAATACATTATATGACACACAATTTCATGAATAGTATCGGCTTAGCCTGGTATGATTTTTATTTAATGGAAGGTGAGACTTATAACACTTACTTTGATCATGTTCCCTTTTCTGGGGAATTTGCTTATTACTAAAGATTTTCAACAGTTGAGTTATTTTTGCGCAGTTGCGGTACATCCGTCATATTAAAGAAACCAATCTTTTAATTCTGCGCGGATAAATTAACTTATCTCTGCCTCGACACTTCTCAATTGCCTTTCTGCTCCATTCCAGTCGAGTCAAACTGCAACTTATTTTTCATCTCAAGAATTTTTATTTTATTCAGAGCAGTTTTACTACTATGGTAATTTTATCCATGCTTTTTTATGCGTAGTCAGTTCTTCGGATACTTTTTGTGATCAATTTTTCTGCATAATTTACAATTCTTACTGAATAACTCACACATACTATGCAAACACAACTTATATCATTTTTTAACTCTTCGTTTCAATGAAACAACAACAATTGCCATCTAATCCATGCTGCTAGCAACTACAAATTCTGTTACGTTAGGGTGGTGCCATATTAACTTGTTCCCTTGGGATGCTACAACAGATGGCAACTCAAGATATAAGCTACTTGAAGTAAATGGCGAGTCTTCCGAGCTGCAATCAATATATTGCTGGTATCAAAGAGACCTGGGATGTACATTGGCAATAACAAGGTGGGTGATGGTGAGCTGGGCAAATGTGTATTTAAGTGTTATTTAATATTTCATTCAAACTTATGAAAAATGCCTCACCCTTTAACATGGATTGACTAACTTTCCTAGTTTGGAATCAACAGGGTGGGAGTCGATTTGCATGTCAGTGAGAAATTTGGTGACGATGGAAGCCCGAAGAATATTTCTTACAACAATTCTTCCACGTTATAATAAGTACTCCAACTTTCACTTACTGTTTTTAATTTGGAACGATCTACATCTCTGGCTCCAATTGCTCATCCAATTTCAAAAAAATGAGATTGTTTGCGTATTTTGGCTTGGCCATTAGCAGTGACGGATTTTGACTTCACAGCTGATATCCAGACAAACTTCAAAATTTAAGAATTTTAGTTTTCGAGTGCAACGAGTTGGTAGGG